TCCGGCCTAGCGCGGGGTTGGAGCCGCCCGAGGGCCGGCGCTGAGAGGTCAGGCGGCTGCGTCCCCCGCGGGGTGGGGAGGCCGGTCCCTAGGGGAGGGTTTGGCCGGGCCCGAGGGCACAGCTGCTTTTTGCCCTGCCTTTTACCTCACCCTTCGCCGGGTGCAGTCATTTCGTGATTCACTGAACAGCTCTGCCCCTCTCCGGTCACACAGCGTCTCCTGAGCCTTGCCGGAGTCTGATCTCCGCGTGTGCGGGTGGAGGAGGCCCTGCTTGAGCGATGAGGAACAGCCGTGCCCTGCCCCTGTGCCCTTTCCCCCTTGCAGTCCCCTACAGAAACATCTGAGCTGCTGCTCCATAGCAGGCCACTTCTGCAGGGGCACTGGTGGCTCCTGCTGGCCTGGCAGGTGTTTCTGTCTTGTGCTTGGTGATCACAGATAAGTGCTGAGAAATTATGGGCCAGTATTTCTTCAAGAAGAAGAAGAAGAAAGTATTAATAGTTAGCATGAGTTCATTGTGTTAGAAAATCGATTTTGCTTGCTGTTGAAATGCATCAGCAGTAAGGAATTCTGAGTATAGGTGGCTTCCATAAAATTATACACGGGCCGCGATTCATCAAAAGCAGAGAAACGAAGACTCCCCAAAATAACGTAGGGTGAATTTAAGTTCATATCTTGAATAGAATAAAGCAAATAATCCAAGGCTTTTTTATTTGCAAATGAGTGGGCTTAGTTGGGAAAACAGAATTGTGATCCTTTTGATGAAAAGGCTGCATCTCCCTGTGTCTTACCTAACAGATTTTGTTAGTCGTCAGTCAAGCTTGCTTTGGCTGTCATAACAACATCCAATCTGCTGGATTTCTTAGTGTGCCTGAATGTAGGAAGGAAATATTTAGCAATGGATCTACTTCTGTAGGACTCAAATATTTTTTTCAGGAGTAGACTCTTTATAAAGGTATTCACATTAACTTCTGTGTAGAAAATTATCCTGATGTGTGTTTGCTGTTGTTGGAATTTTTTTTTTTTCTTACAGGACACAATTATCATGTCTCTAAGAGTCTTAAACACTATTTCTTGACTTTAATACTATAGTTGTTTGTTTTGTGTTACCTCAGTTAACTCTGTAATGATTTTGTTCATCTTTTTGTGTATGCTTCTCTGATATATTTTTCTCACCTCCATTTTAGGATTACGCTAAGGAAAGATATGGAGTGTCATCAATGATACAATCCCAAGAGAAACCAGGTCAGTTAAAAAGTCAAAAAAGTTTTTTAAAAGAGGGGGGAAGGAAGGAAGGAAAAAAAGAAGTTGTATACTTGATATCTTCAGTACTTGTTTGAGAAATCATTTACCAAGCTTTTTGATTCAAATCCTGCTGCCATTCTTTCCCTTGAATACATTTGGCACTTGTGAGGCTGCATTTGGAGTGCCATGTCCAGTTTTGGGATCTCCAGTGCAAGGAAGACAGTAATGTTTTGGAGCCAGTCCAATGGAGAGCTACCAAACTGCTCAGGGGACTGGAGCACAGGATCTCTGAGGAGAGGCTGAGGGAGCTGGGCTTGTTCAGCTTGGAGAAGAGGAAGCTGTGGGGTGATCTTATTACTGTTTACAGCTTCTTGATGAGAGGATATAGAGAAGATAAAGCCAGACTCTTGAAGGTGTGTCATAATTGGACAGGAGGTCATGGGCACAAGTCAGAACACAGGAAATTCTGATTAAATAGAAAAAAAAAATCGTAAGTGTGGTTGGCTATTGGAGCTGAGTCCAGAGAGATTATGGAATTTCCTCAGTCTTCACTCTTGCCTGGACCACGCCATACACAGCTTCTCAGTTTTTATCTCTGTACATCACTCCAGGCTTGACTTTGGGGTTTTTGGTTTTTTGTTGGTTTTTTTTTTTTCTAATTATTATGATTTATAATTTACTGAGTCCCGAGATGTCAGTTTTGTTCTTTGTTTGGAATAAGTTCTACTATGGCTTGCTGCAACAGCGATCACTCTCCGAATAGGATATCTGTCTGCTTATGTATGCAGCCTTCATTACTCCTGCATATGAGCACCAAATCCATTAATATATATTAATATTTACGGGTTTTATCATTATTCACACCACTGTGAATTCAGGAAATCCTCATTTTCTACTGATGGGGAATTGGGATTCAGAAAGACTTGTCAGCGAGAGAACGATCTCCCAGGCCAACATCCCAGGAAATATTAATCTTCATATTATTCAGTGCATGAAACAGGAACGAGGGAAGGTAATAGACTGGCTTCTTGTAACTTCTTCATAGTGAAATGTGAAAAAGGAACATCATCTGTGATTAGGTGATTTTTTTTCTCCTCTGAATGGTTGTTTTGGTTGACCTCCCTTGGGAAGGGAAATGCAGAATGTAGGGAAGAGGAGGAGCCACAAAAGCAATCATAGGTTGAAACCAACTGAAGGGGAACATTATGTCAAGAATGTAATGGGACATGAAAATCACTAGAGACTGTATTAACAGTCATTATTGAATAAAATCTGTAATAACTGTCAAAGAAAGGGAACTGAAGTTGAAATCACATTGTAAGCCAGCCCGACTGCTGTGGTCTGCCTCTTCCTGGTGCTGGGTCTTCTGCTGATCGGTTTCAACATGCTAATAATAACAACTTGTTTAGCCAGCTTAGCAAAGTGAAAGAAGTTGGCCAGGAGTCTGATGCCTCCTGGAAGGGGCAGGAACACAGCTGTCCATAGTTACGTGTAGCCACATAACAATCCATAAATTGGTGTGCAGTTGCAGCCTAAAAGGTTTAATATTAATAAAAAGGTAACTTCTCCAAGTTGGCATCTGGCTGGTTAACCTGTACTGTAGGCTGAAAGAATGCCGTGTTGGATCACCTCTCCCTGCACTCTTCTGTGATAGTATTTGGGTCACTAGAGTTTCTGCAAGCTGTGTTTCCTCTGCCAGTTCACACCCCATGGTAAACAACTGTATGGGAGACCCAAGCTGGCAGGTTGAGAGAGTGGATCAAATCATACTCCTGTGGAGAAAGTCTGCCCTGCCAACTGTTCAAAAGAAACACTCAAAAATACCGTGGAGAAAAATACGTTGAGAAGAAAAATGGTGAAAGCTACAGGAAATTATATGAAGAAATCTGAGTGCTGTGTTTAGATCAGTTGTCTCTTTGACCCTCAGTCCTCTTTGGGTAAAAAAGTCCCAGCCAGTATATAGACAGGATTGAGTAGGTTTTCCGTTGGGCTTAAAATACAATCTACAACACTCCTGCTGTTCCATTTTTTAAAAGATGGTTATCCAGAACACCAAAATTAGGTAACAATAAAAACCAAAATGCCTATAATAAAAAAAGTTCAAGATCAGCCTAGACCTTTCCTTGAGACTAATGCCCTCTTACTTAAAGATTCAGTTGATCCTGCCAGGGAGAGCCCTTATCAAAGGACTCACAGGAGGGTGAAGTCCTCACTCCTGCATCAGTAGTGTATATTTGTTTTTCCCCAAAGTATTCTGCTTGTATTGGATGCCTTGGAGGAACTATTGCTTGGGGCAGGGGGGTGGTGGGGAAGCACAAGTGCGAGTGTTCCCATCTGTCTCTGCTGTATTAATTTTGTTTGTTTCTGAAGTCTGTGTGGGTACATACCATTTCTGAGTCAGAATAACGAATTGTGGCATGACATGCAGATCCACATACTGTCTGGTAACTGGAGCCAGCAGACAATAGAGACAGCATAAATGTGGGTAGGAGCTCAGTTGGACATCTGCAGCACTGTTGTTTTTAGGCTTCTGTAGTAGCTGCACTGTCCTGAGGACACTGGCTGGACGCGGGAAGTTAAAAAGCTTAGAGTGATCAGAGCAAATTACTCTTCCTTTCCAAGGGACAGGCTTATTGTCCTTTTGCTGTACTCATAGATTCTTCTTCCTCTGCAGGCAAATTCAAACTCTTTTCACATGTTCACAAAGTTGTTGCATAGGTGCTCCACCCTGCTCTACTGATCTCACACATGCCTGTGCCTTCATTCTTGGCCCACTTTAGTCTTTCTTCTGCTAATGTTGGCTGCCCTGGCTATCTGATATTCTCACTTCCTGTTACATCATGTCTTTAAGTCTTTCCTGCCTGCTTGAGGCTATGACTGCTAGTAAAACTCCATTTGCCTTTCCCTTTTTCTCCTTTCAGCCCGATGATTGTCATGTCCCCTCCCTGGAAGCTGCTTTCATCTTATACTGCTTTTGGCTTTCAGATTTTTTTATTAAACTTGTCTTCTTTTTTTTCAAATTTATCCAACATTGTAAAGATGCTGGCACTTCACAGACACAGCAGAAATATTGATCATACTGTTCAAAATTCCATAATGCAAGATAAATGAACTTTTGTTCAAATGTTGTGACAGGCAGGGAATGGGGGTCTGGGAGTGGAAAAATGGTTTTGTCTTGTATAACCCACACAGCTTTTTGGGTTTTTATCCTCTCCTCCCATGTTTAGAAGAAGTTAGAGTTCTGAGAGAAAGATAAGGATATTTAGTATAGTGAAAAAAGAGATTGTGCTATACATGAAGGAAACAAAAAATATAGTTTCTCCTTAAACATGATTCAAAATGGCAATGAAGGTGAGATAACACGAATATTGAATTGGGGCTGGAAGTGTAATTTCAGACTTAGGGAGTATTTTGTTTGAATTTTGCTTAAAATCTTTGTTCCCTTGTCTTCATTGCAACTGTAGCATGGTTTAAAACATCTTTTATTTTTGCATTATTTGTCTGTGTTTATGTGGCAAGAAGATAGAAAATGTAAGTATAGCTTGCATTTGTGAAAGAACAAAGAAAGAACAAGTAGGTGGTAGTCTGAAGAGGATGGTGGGAGGACCTTAAAGGTGAGAGCAAGAAGCTTCATGTTTATCATGGAAGAGATAGAAATGAAGTGAAAGGAATTCCAGTTGAAATAATATGTGAGTACAGAGGGAAGATTTGAGCTATAATATGTTGGTTGGACAACAGAAAATAAGTGACAAATGATTGCTTACGCTAATAAATGTAGGCATTATCATGAACTACAGGTATTTTAGAAATGAGAGGAAGAGAAGGCTAGATTTGGGAAGTGTTGCAGGAGGCAAAGTGACAAAACAGTTGCTCTAGCTCTTTTCAGTGGAGCACATTGACAGGACCAGAGACAGTGGGCACAAACAGAAACACAGGAGGTTCCCTCTGAACATCAGGAAACACTTTTTTACTGGGAGGGTGACCAAGCGCTCGTACAGGTTGCCGAGGGAGATTGTGGAGTCTCCCTCTGAGGAGATAGTAAAAAATCAGCAGAACACAATCTTGGACAGCTGGCTCTAGGTGGCCCTGCTTGAGCATGGGATTGGACCAGATGACCTCTAGAGCTCCCTTCCAACCTCAGCCATGCTGTGATTCTGTGATGTGCTGTTGGAAAAAATGACTTTATGATGTTTCTTTTCGGATATTGTTTTATTACCCTTTTTATAAAAGGTAAAATAATTTTTAATAATTAATGCTATATAAAAATGTTTGTGTTAAAGGTGTCTTGTTTAGTCTTGATGAAACACGAACACTTATGTATCCAAAAGACTTTTTAAAATATTTATCTAGTGCAGATGGTTCCTGAAACACTAAGAATCCATAAAAAGGGTAACACCTCATTCTGGAACACCTGGAAAATGTTTTAAATTTCTAACAATACAATTTTAAGTCAACTGAGGTAATTTTAACTGTCTGAATATCAAACTCTTAGAAATACTAAAGCTTATGGGTTGTGCTGGTTGCATGTTCCCTATAGTACTATACCAATAAAGTTTGAACATCGGAAGTTGCTGGCAAGTGATAACATCTTTATTTCCCTTTCTCCCTTCCCCAGTGCACACGTACACACACACACGCACTTAATATATTTGAGTCAATTTCCTATCACATTTATCTGTGCACTTTCATTCTGTTCTGGTTTTGATGTGTCTGTGAAGAAAATAACTACATTGTCCTGAGCATAAGCAAATAAATGTTTTCAACCCCCCAAAATTCCCAGTGCAGAATAATAGGATTGCAAGGCAAGCTGTGACTGGTATTCAGAGAGAGAGGGAAGGAGTCCAGAATGACAGATGGTAACCTGGGGTAGGCGAACTTTTCCAAAGTTCTGGTGGGAAAGTCTAGAGTGGAAGTGTCTTAGTAAATTTAATGTTATTTTGAAACAAGGGAGAAGTCTGTGATTAAAAAGAGAGTGAATTTGCTTGTGTTACATACCAGAATCGTAGAATATCTCGAGTTCGAAGAGATGCGTAAGGATCAATATGTCCCTTGAAGATTTTTTTGTGTCTAATAAGCAATGATTTTAACCACATATGAACTGTAAATGAGTAAGTGTAGTTGTCAGAACTGTTGAGGTTCTATGCAGTGCTATGTATATCCTCTGACTGATTTGTAGATACTATAAGAAGTGTTTGAGACTATGTAAAAATACATTTGGCCAAAAATCTATGGAAAAATACAATTAAACAAGTACATTTCCAATAATAGTGGCATGCAGCCAGCATACTGGTAGTTCATAGTGGTTATATACAATTTTTAAAGTCCTGATTTATTTAAAAATACTTTCCTTGATAATTGTTTTTTTCCTTTACTATCCAAAATCTGGCCTGTCCAAACCATGCATTCCTGTTGTTATTTAGCTTTCTTGGGTACACAGAATTTGAAGGTTCTTTCTGATGCATCCTGGCTCCTACAATGATAGTAATGCTTGATCAGATTGTTGAAGAGATTCTCTCTTAAAACAAATTTTACTGGTTTTACACAGTAACACTCTTGCTGCTCCAAAATGCTATTATTTTTATCAAAATAAATCATCTTTTAATTTCTAATGCACATTTATATGTGGTTTCTTTCTCTATTTTAAATAATAATTATTTTACGCTGATATTCACCCTACTTGTGTAGATACAGAGAATAGCCATGTCGCCTCTGAGCCTGTGTTTTGCTGTGTTCAACATACTTACTTTGACGTTGCACAGGGGAGCAGGGCAGACATCCCTTAGCTAACAGAAATTCAGACTAATAATTGCAGGTAGTACAGTGGAGCACAGGGAAGTCCTATCAAAAACAGTGTAGTCATGCTGGGTTCTGCCATCTGCGAACTACAGTAAGTCTTGCTTTTGTTTTACTGCAGTTTGACCCTGCTATACAAGTCAAACAATAAGCTTGAACCAATTTAAAACTACTTGATCAAGTACAGTTCACTGAGAAAAGAAATGGGATCTTGTGTGTTTTCAGTGCATCTATTATACCGTAGATACAAAAAATAATGTTTTGGATTTATTATAAATTTTAGGAATGACAGAAAGTGTATTTGGAGTTTAAAATGAAAAATGTTTTGCTTCAAAAAATACTAAAACCATTATAATTTTTCCCCCCCCTGTAATTCAGATAGAGTTTTGATTCGAATAAAAGACTTGACAGTGGAGAAGGCTGATGAAGTGGTTTGGGTTCGTGGCAGAATACATACGAGCAGAGCTAAAGGTGAGATGCCTTCAGGGTTTTTATTTTTTATTTCCTCATAGTGTTAGTATAACCTGAATGTTTACTTTGGCTTCATGACCTATTAGTTATGTCTTGGATACAAGAAAACTTGGCCACCTGGTTACTCAGTGTTCACTTTGACTAACTATTTTGTCTTTTCTCCACCTCTCTTTTTCCAAGCAGGGAAAAGGAAATTTTGTTTTCAGCTGAGTGGAAATGGGGTAGTACTATTACATTGTAGTAAAAGTGAATTTTGGTTATGTTTGGCATATTTACTGAATAATGTGTGGACAATTGTAAATAATAGGATTTTAAAAATATTATTGTCATTCTTCTTTGGATGTTAACAGTTGTGAGATAAACCAGTTACAAGCTTCTGCTGTGAAATGTACTTTTATTATAAATGTGTAAGTTTTCAGACAGGCCACATTTATTCTGCTGCATGTGAATATTTTCACTATACCTTTTCTTTGACAGGAAACAAAAATCTGTGTTAAAATTTCAGAATTTTTACTCTAAGTTATTGGTATCTGATTATAGCAATTTGAACTTAAAATAAGAAACATCATCTTTCTTTAACAAGACAAAGGGAAAATCTTTTTATAGGTTCTCAGTAGTGTGGGCTGTCGTACTTGGCTGTCCGACAGCCATATTTCTTCCCTGGAATCAGAAGTTCTCTCTGGATATCAGTTTGCCATATGCAAACTTAAATAGGCTTTGGCCTTTTCAGTTGACATCAGATGCTGACAACTGTTGTACTGGTTTTGGTTATGTTTGGCAGCTCTGTAGTGAGATGTAAATACCTTGTCTTCCCAAGACTTGAAAGAAAAGAGCGTAAAGAAATTATCTCCACGACTGAAACATAACAGTAGTCTTAGAACTGGGAATAATGCGAATTAGGAGCGAGAATCCAGTACAGAATATTGTCACAGATACCAAATTCATTTCTCTTTTTGAGGTTTAATTTTCTTTAAAAATGTCCCTCTTAATGAGTGTCTGTATTGCAGTCAGTTAAAATAATGAACTGCCTGTAAATATATGCATATACTGCATATTTTGATTTGTATTAGAATCTTTATATTTAGAGAGTCCTCTGTGATTTCCTCAGTAGTTCTGTAGTATGGTCTCACATTGAAGTCTCTCTTTGCTATGTGTAGAAGTGGTCAACCCTGAAAGGTGTGAAAGCCTTGGTCATTACAACTTGAAGTTGTTCAGACAGGAGACGCTTTATCTAATTTAAATGTCACTATGAGTATACAAATAAGAGTATCCTTACAGCTGTTTCTTTGCAATTGTAGGAGGAGTTCAGACTATTAACAGAATTTAGTATATTGGAGACAGGTGTCTATGCAGCCTTTAAAACAACAAAAAGTTCAATGGTTGTTTATTACTGTCTCTGTATTGCATTTATATATGATATCTTGCATGATATAAACATTTACTTCAATCAGAGTAACATATATGTAACATGGTAATATTAACTTACAATAAGGTACTTGTTGTCCTCCACCTTTGACCTCAGGAAAGACTACTGTTTTTCATGAAATAACAGTGCTTATTTTCCAAACTCTTTAACACAACCTGAAGAATGAAAGCAAAAGGAGTTGATTATGAGCATGAAGTGTTCTCAATTTATTGATTGTGCTTCTTGTTCCGTCTTGGTCTGACAACAGAGAACGATTCTGACATTCAGGGAATGCTGCTAGGGAATGCCATATGCTTGTTTACTCAAGCTTTGGGAGAAAGAATCTTACAAGAAAAGCAAATGTTTAAGAGTAAAAAAATAATACTAACCTTTCCCACACAGATCGTGGCACTATTCCTACTGTTTTGGAAAGGAAAGTCTTGCAGGAAACAGGAAAAACTTAGACAAAAATAGCTTTAGTTTTTCTCAGAAGTTCCAATTTGACTCCTAAATAACCAACATATCCTTTATTTAGCCCTGTCTAGTTCTGACCAATAAACCAAAAAAAAAAAAGTGAACTGCAGAATCCAGCTGTCTTGTATAGCAAGCCACTCATGAAGTCTGATGGAAATTAACTGAAGGATGTGTAAAGAATGGAGTGTTGGGAATTTCTGTGGGTTGTACTAAAATTAAAGTGCTTGCGGCCCTGTGGGTTTTATTGTAGATTGAATAAATGTTAGTTCTGGCCTTATTTTAAAGCCACCCTAAGCTACTGGTCACGTTTATCATTGAAAAGCAGTTGGGAAATCAGTCTGGGTTCTGCCAGGCAGCTGGGACTTGGGCAGTAAGTTAGACCTAAACTTGGTTTTAGTTTATGAATGCAAAGTTTTATAAAACATCAAAATAGTATGTCTGAAAATGAGAGTACCACTGAGAGCAATTTAAGTATTGGACCAAATTTTATAATAAACCATATAAAGTTTTCTCTTCACTGGCAGATGTCTGTAACTAGAATGTATTAATTTATATGACCAAACATTTTTTACTCTTTATATAAATTCCTTCCTTATGTCCTTTTCTCTCATGAGGTCTTGTGTCATTTGGTACTTACATCCAAGAAAGGAAACGGATTCCTGTTTGGTTTTGTGTGCTTGCTTTTGACAGGATTCCGTGTGTGGTGGCTTCTCTCATTTCTTTAGTGACTAAAAGTTCTTTGCATTAGACTGAGTCAGACCTTTTTAACCACATTTTTTTTGAAACTTTTTATCTTTTTATGCATTCTTGTGGGACACAATATTGGTTTGGTTTATAGAAACTTAGAGTAGTTTACTGTTGAATGTGAGTAAAGTTGGTCTAATTCTTTTCACTTAAATACCATGTAAATATTTTGAAACACATGGAGAACATCCCATCATCACAATTTTTTTCTCACTCTGATGCTTCCTTTTTTCCATCTCTTGATCTGGGGAAGCATCTAATCACGAAGTAGATTTGATTATGGCTTGTCTTTTTGATATTTTGCACGCCTTTGACTTTTTAGGGAAAATTTCTGTTTCTTCCTACAAGCTTTGTAACTGTCATATTTTAACTATTCCTATCAATGAGGTTTGTTTGATCACTTATCTTCTGTGTGATTAGAAATGGTTATGTTCTACAAAACATCCTCTTTCCTCATGAAAGAAACTACTGTTCCTCATGTCAAAAAGATTCGAGTCCTTTTATAATGCAGATATTGTTCAGACTTCTAGTATTTGGGATTAAATACAACTGCCAAACTTTTGCTTCTGCTTAGCCTAATAGCAGGTCCCTCCATTTATTTTGTAATCTTCTCCTTAAATATTTACTAGTTGAGTGACATTGTAGCTGTCTTCAGCTGTGTATTTTTTGTTTGAATGCCTAATACATCCTTGCTGAAACTTCAGTCATATTTTGCTAAAGTATTTGTGACTGAAATGGAGACAAATACTGTATCAAACCACACCGTAAGCAAGAAATACTGAGATGTCAAAGATGTGAGATACACCTAACTTATCCAAAGAGACTTAGCATATTGTGTCTTATGGAAAAATTGCACTTTGACTTGCTGGATCTGAAACACAGGCGTGTATACCACTGAAGGCTCTGTTTAATTTCTGAAGCCTGTACTTTCTAATTTAAATCTGTGGCTTAATGTTTGCCTGCAAGAAATACGTGCATCCATACCATGTTAGCTTCTTTACTTAGATATTGCAGCCTCTGGAATACAGAAGTAGTTGTCCTCTGTTTGCTGAAAATACGGAATTAATTTTCTTGCATTTCTGAAATCAGAATCATAGCACAAGGTTAGTTATTTACAATAATTATAATGTTAATTTTTAATAATATTTTGTAGTAGTTTTTTTATGTTTGCTTTTATTTCCATCAGATTGTGTGTCAAATGTTCTACATTTATCTTCTGATACTGTTTAAATTATCTGCAGCTATGTGTCAGGAATGGTAATCTACATAATTACAAATGAAAATAAATTTTTAGTGTCAATGTTCAAGTTAGATATACGTTGATTTTAATGTTTTATAGTCTAAATCGACAATAACTACGAAATAGCTATCTATGACAAAGCTTCTGGCTTCTTCGTATTCTCACCATATTAATGGAAATGTTATGAGTCAGAACATGGAAACAAAATGATATTGGTGCATTTTATCAGATACTGGTACAACAATGAAGTATTTGTTGTTAATTTCTCTCTCGGAGGAAGAAGAATCACCATATTTCCTTAAATCTAAATTAAGGAGTAAATTATTGTGCAAGGTCCTGCACATGGGTCGGGGCAATCCCAAGCACAACTACAGGCTGGGCATAGAATGGATTGAGAGCAGCCCTGAGAAGAAGGACTTGAGGGCGTTGATTGATGAAAAGCTCAATGTGAGACAGCAATGTGCACTGGCAGCCCAGAAAGCCAACCGTGTCCTGGGCTACATCAAAAACAGCGTGACCAGCAGGTCGAGGGAGGGGATCCTGCCCCTCTACTCTGCTCTTGTGAGACCCCACCTGCAGTACTGCGTCCAGCTCTGGGGGCCCCAGTACAAGAGAGACATGGAGCTGTTGGAGCGAGTCCAGAGGAGGCCACAAAGCTGATCAGAGGGCTGGAGCACCTCTCCTATGAGGACAGGCTGAGAGAGTTGGAGTTGTTCAGCCTGGAGAAAAGAAGGCTCCGGGGAGACCTTATAGCAGCTTTCCAGTACCTGAAGAACCTGAAGGACTGTTTACAAGGGCATGGAGTGATAGGACAAGGGGGAATATCCTAAAGCTGACAGAGGGCAGATTTAGATTAGGTATTAGGAAGAAGTTCTTCCCTGTTAGGGTGGTGAGGCACTGGACCAGGTTGCCCAGAGAAGCTGTAGATGCCCCATCCTTGGAAGTGTTCAAGGCCAGGTTGGATGAGGCTTTGGGCAACCTGGTCTAGTGGAGGGTGTCCCTGCCCAATGCAGGGCGGGTTGGAACGCAATGATCTTTGAGGTCCCTTCCAACCGAAACCATTCCATGGCTCTATGATATATGAGGAGAAATATGAAATGATTGTAACTGTCAGGTAAACAAATTGGGAAGAGCTTTGTTAACTTGGAAATGCCCATTTTAAAAGTCAACAAAATGCATTACATTCTTTGTAAATTACTATTAATTCCTATTAACTTTTTTCCTTAAGCTGTTCATGAATAAATTGCTCTTACAGGAATTTTTACTTGGGCCTTTTAGGTTCTTGTCATTCACCAGAATCAACACTGCTTTTGTTCCCCTTCATTCTGAATGTGTGATGTATTATAGAATGAACGTTGTTGGTTTAGTCCCTGTGGTGCAAAATCAAGCCTATTTCTCTCAGAGCAGCTTTGTAAAGAGAGCTCTACAGCTTTAATTTGAGAAGATGAGAAAAAACTTCTTTTAAAATAATGTAGACTTGAAGTAGTTGTAAGCAAAGCAACAAGGAAAAGTATGATTTACTTCTTGCAGTTGAAGAATAGTAGATATTTTAAAAGTTATAATTTTTAGATTTTGGGTTTTGTAGATATTATTTATCTTGGAAGACTTATTGTTATTTTTAGAAAATGTCCATTCACATGTTTATAGATGTAAGGCAGAATTATTTCATTTATCTCAGTGTTTGGGGTGTGTGCGTACATGCAGAGCTGACTAGTTTGATGTAGGTATTGGGAGGGGCGCAGCGAGGGAGAGACAGACACACACACCCCCTTAAAAGCTCAGCTTAATATCATAGTAGTAAAACATTTTTGTTCATTCACAAAGACCTCGAGTAACTTGTCCTTAATACACCTGCGTTGTTTTTCTTTGTATTCAGGGAAGCAGTGTTTCTTAGTCCTGCGTCAGCAGCAGTTTAATATCCAGGCTCTTGTGGCTGTGGGACAGCATGCAAGCAAGCAGATGGTAAAGTTTGCTGCCAAGTAAGTAAGCAATTATATCCTGTTGTCAGAGTAAACAATGGTGGGAACCAGGACTCCCAGGGGTTGGGACCATTTTCACACATTAACATCAATGCTTCGTTTGTTTTAAAATGTAGTTATTTAAATTGTCAGCTCACTATTGCGTTGAATACATTACACTGACAAAAGATAAAATAGAGAACAGGCTTGAAATTCATTCTGAACTGCTGAAGCAGCATTCTCTCGCCATAGACAACCTACATTTACTTTCAAGCTGGCTAACAAAAAGTCTGGCAAGCTGAGCTTAGTGGGACACTTCATTTTGTGTGGTGTGTGTGCACATGTTAAGGGTTTTTCTTCTACAAGACGTGCAGTGTAGTAATACATTTTATAGCTTGAACTGATGTGAAGAAGTTCCATATTGCAAGTGGCTTACTGAGTTGAAGAAATTAAAGAGTAGCTTCTGTGCACTGAATTAATCTTACTTATACCTTATTTTTGGCACTAGAATGTTTAGTGAGGGATTTAAGTTACTTTTAAAATGTTTTTTGGGAGGGTAATAAGTAGACTTGCCACTTCAAACAAGTGTTTATTGCAGCAATTTAAATTCAGTTATTTTGGTTTGTTTTATTCTTAAAGATAAAAAATTACCTTCCCCTGCCACTTCCCTCAGCATTGTGCTTTCAGGTTGTCCAGTACTAAATATGCTTGCATGACAAAGGTGTTTTTGTAGTAGAGCTTTTAATCATGTATATCTACTTGTTCACAAATAGAAATGCGGATCAATTTGGTGCAATAATATGTTTAACATGTGGCACTTGAGTTGCTTCTGTCTAGTTCTTGGCACTACTCTTGTGCCTGGGAAGGGAGCCCCCACTAATTAGCTGCAAAAGTGCTACAGCCTTCAACCTTCAATATGTCAGGGGGAGGAGGGATTCATTACAGTATAGACTTCCAGAAGCCAAGTTAAGAAGGTTTTGGATAATGCTGCTGCTGCTGAGGTTCAAGGCAACGGGAAAACAGAACCAGCAGTGTTTGGCGGTGCTTAGTGTTGGCAGTGCCAGTGTGAAGCATGCTGTTTACAGGTGTTTATGAGCCAAAGTGAAGTGTTCTGTTTCTTCATGAAATAGTTTGTTCTCTCCAGCGCTTTGAATCTTTGAAAAGAATTAAGTGTATAATCTACTCGTTCCTCAATTCATCTCCCTCTAACCTACCAACAGTCTGCCTGTACTCTCTCGATGAACTTGTGCTACAGAACAGTGAAACAACTCTTCATGGTTGTGATGCTCTCTTCTATGTGGTGACTCTGCCACTTGTAAGCCTTCTGTGACTTTTTTTTTTTTTAATTCACTAATCTTTTTGTAGTCTGTTTTCTGTTAGGTTAGTGATTTAAACTAAACTAGGTCATGGAGGTCCAGAGCTAACAAGCAGTGGTAAACGGTGGAAAAAGGTATCTGGAAAGAGAGCAAAGCACTTTCTCTTCTGGCAGCAGTGAGCTGTTAAATTAGATGGAACCTCATCCTTACGTTCTTTCCAACTCCCTGTCATCTCCCCACTTTTCTTGATGTGACAGACCTGATTTCCTCTGAGTAGCCAGACCGTGATGTTTGTACTGTGTTTTGACTTTTCATTCTGCTCCTTTTTGTGTTAGCATTTGCTAGCTAAATCTTGATACTTTGGCCTCTCTAATTTATAGCATGCATGTTTTACTTATGATTTGTGCTTCTGAAATGTTTAAATGCTTATCATCCTGCACTTTGAATGATAGAACTTTCTCTGCTACAGCCTTCTGGGTTTTCTTTTGGAGGTTTGCTTTTGGTTTTTTAACACCGTTAGTGCAATCATCTTCTCATGATTCCTTCCCACCATTTTATTATTTTACTAATATCTTGCCATGCTCTCACTTTTTCCAATATTTTATCTTCTACGATTTTGCCTAATACTGCCATTGCAGCTGCCTCTTGTCCTCCAGAGGCTGCTGCTTTTCCCTGACTTCTGAGTACACTTGCGGTCACTGTGTCAGTAACACCTGAAGCACAGCAACAGTACCTGCCTTGTCTGCGCTCACTTTCCTGCTGGTTTTCACCTGCTGTGGCATGATGCCATTACTACGAGATGAGGTGGTCTTAGATCTCTAAAAATAACTATACTGTAGTTTCTTTGCCTTTCTCAGTGTCTTTTTTTATCATCTCCTCTTGTGTCCTAAGCATTAAATGAGGAAATACACATTAATTGAAGAAAACATTTAACCTAAATACTTTATACTTAATTTAAATTTTTAAAGTAAACTTTTTCACTGATAGTATATAAACTATATGTTTCATGTGCTGCCTTCTCTTATTTTGGGTCCAAAAATTTCTTTAAAATTGTTTGTGGAATTCTGATTCTTGAATTTTTAATGAGAACTGATTAAATCATGAGCATTTTTTCTTACAATTTTTCATAAATAATAACCAAACCAGTTCCTCTTTTAGATATTGGCACATGGAAACCAAGAACTTTCATAACCTTCTGTGGTCTAGCAACATTCGTATACTAATTATCTCCATTATCATAAGAATGTGAGTTGTTTTTAGTGAAAGATACTTAATACTGGTTTAACTCAGTTTTACAAAGAAATTTCTGTGAGTTTAACTATGAAAAGTTTCTAGTTGAACTTTCAAATAATACATAGCCAACAACATAGAGCCAGTCAGGATGCTGGATTGGCAGCTGTGGAGTTGTTCTTATGTCTTTTATCAGAAAAAAAAAAAATCAGTGTAGTCCTGCAAGGGGTGCTGTGTAAGAGAAAGAATTAATTGTCTCTCTCAGCCAGCAGAGGTGCCAAGTGGTGCAATTTGTAATTTATTCACCTGCTTTTTTTCCATACAGTATTGGGTATGGTTGGTTTTGGTTTTCTTTCCCTTTTTTTTTTTTAATATCAGCATTGAGCCTTTCACCCCCATCTCCACTACCATACCCACACGATATAACAGTTGGGAGAGGTGGTTAACAGCTGCCCAAACAATGTGTAACAGGAAGTAACTTGATGGCTCTTCATAGTAGGCTAGAGAATGAAAATCCAGAAAAGAGATTAGAAAGGGGGGAGGGGGAGGAAGGCGGGTAAACCTGTATGAAAATACTTCACAATGTAGAAAAATGTACATAAGTTCATCAGCTGGATAAATTGGTAATACCAGGAAAACTGCTGGACATTGCAGGAGTACTTTCTTTATCCATTCTAGTTTAATTTTTATATCAGTGAACTGGAAGAAAATGTCAAATTGCAGCTGTTAAGTTTGCTGGTGACACAGAAATTGGAATGGTAAACTAGGGGCTAGTAGTATATAGTAATCAGGGTTCATTTAGAATAATCGCTTTGATGCTCCTCAGTGCGAATTTGTACGTTTGTGATCATTAGTTCAGATTTTGTGTATGTTCAGGATTAATATGTAGGAAAGTAAGTGATGAGAAATATGAGATCATGACAGATAACTGACTTAACAGGAGTCCATGCAGTTCTCTTACCTACTGTGCTAGGAGATCTCTTGAGTTTTGAAGAAGAGCAATAAAATGCCATTAATGTAATATATGCCAGTCATTAAACCATTTCTGAAATATTTTGTCCAGTTTTGTTGTCTTTGTGTCTGAATATATGTCAAATTGTAAGAGGTTGATGGTGAAGCTGCAAGATGAAATGATGTGGTCAGGTAAATCTGCCTTCCTGTGAGACTAAAGAAAACTTTCTATTCTATCCAAGAGAAATCAGTAATTAATTTAAATCCCAGTCTGATGGTACCTGTACAAGAAGATTTTCTGCCAATGGAGGGTTCTTTACTTTGCAGATACAAAAGTATGACAGGATGCAATAAACAGATGGTGAAGCTAGGTAAATTTGGAAGGGAAATAAAATGGAATTTTTTTCAGTGAAAATGATTAAAAATGCATAGTCAATTTTGTTACTTAAAATCTTTAAAAGAATATAGGCTTGTTTTGGTTTTCCCCAGAAGATATCCAGGTTCATCCAGGTGTCAGAATGTAGGAAACAGATTGTTATATTTTTAGAATTAACAGAGTAAGAATACATGTTTACCTGGCCTTCATGTATACAATGTCAGTTAACTCCCCTTTCAGAGGGCTTAATGGATACTTAACTGTATTTATGCAGACAGTATTACAGTTGAGTATACAGTATTACAGTATACATGTTGAGTATAAAATGTTTATACTTTCAACTGTTTACAAAGTGAACTCATTTTTTCAAACTATTGCCTTCAGCTTTCACTGACATTCAGATAAAGGATTGTTGATTATTATGTTTTATGACAATTATTTAATATTTTTAGATTTACTAATGTATTAATATAATAATTTATGCAGTCTGCTTACAGAAAACAGTGTTGAAGAAAAAACAAGAAAATGTCTGAGCAAGGATAGATGCTTCTATTAAGTAAAACATTTTCTATTTAAAGTCTATAAATAGCCAAGTTTCTTCCAATTCTTCAAACTTTTGGTCAAGAAAATGTTGATTGTGATTCACTTCGGGAGGCCTGCATGGGGTTCAGCTTGCAACATGAAGCTGTTGATGAAAGATGTTGTCATACAGACTGAAATAATGCAATCCTGTGGTTAAAAGAGAAAGTCTTGGCTAATAGACATGCAGATAATTAAGAGGGACATAAGGCATCTAGTGGACATTTTAGTAATAATAGTCTTGATTTTCTGGAAGGAATATTACATATAAAGAAGCAGTTTGCTATACAGAGGAATTTTTTAGCATTGGATTTTATGAATCTATTACTAAAATAGCTTAAGGATTAAACAATATAAAGATGTCACCTGTCCTGTCTTAATGCATCATGCATCCTAATTTAGTTTCTAGTCCTTTCTAATATTGTCGTCTTTAATGGAAATTATGATAGCTTTGGCATGCTTTTCTGCTACTTGTTCACTTTTTTTGGTTTGTTGGGGTTTTTTTGTTACCCAGGGGAATTTTATCAAAAAATCACCTAGGTGACTTAGTGCCGCTGCTGCAGAGAACTCTTTGCTGTCGTTACTGGCATTTAATGGAAGTGTTTTGTTTCTTGTTGTAACTTAAACTGAAATTACCATCTCAGTAACATTCTTGAAATTACCTGTTGGGATCAAAACAGAACCTTCTAGGTTTCTGTAGTTTACATTTGATGCACAATGTTAGGGACTTCAGATTTTTCCAGCACTAGATTTTGCTGAGCATGGTTCAGACAAAACTCAAAATACAAACTTTTACTTCCATACCAGATTAGATGTGTAGTCTGAATAAGCAAAAATATATTTTCTAATTATCAAATGGAAGTTTAGAGTAGATGATGAATGTTTGTAAATACAAAGATGGTCATATGCAGTAGAAAACTCGGTAGTGCTTTTGTGTGCCCAGGCAATTACATGCATATGTGGATACAGGGATCTACATAGGTAGGAACTGAGTTGAAATACATGCTAAAATTACAGCAAATGTAATGACTAAGGGATGTTACAGTTTTAAAGTGTGTTCCAGACCAAGAAACATACTGTTTTAATTGCAACTCCAGTTTAGAGAGAAAGAGAGAAAAAGCACATTTAATCACAAGTACAAAGTTTTAAAGTTCCGTTATGCAAGTTTGCAAAGCAATATTACAGTTACAATGATGTAAAAGTCAGTTTCTTCCTGTGTGTTTAAAGTGATACCATTTTGCATGTTTTGAATTCCATGCGTGTTCTGATCAAAGCTCTGTAGTGACTTCACTAATACTCAGCCATGGCATCACTAATCTGATTACGGATCCATCATACAACACATTTATATTTAACTATTCTTTTTCACAGTGCAGAAAATTTGCTTTGATAAGTTTAAAACAGTATTTTTATTTGCAAGTATTAGTGAGAGGGCTTTTATTCAGCAGATTAGAAACTTCTATTTTCAATGAAGACACTGCTGTTAGTGCCATTAGTACTGTTTTCTGGGCATTTGCCAAAATGTTGACATGAAAAAGAAAGCGGGAAAAATAGAGGAAAACTGTATAGGGGAATAAAAGTTAGCACAAGAGTAAAACTTCTGTGAAACATTCACTTATTTGAAAAGCAAAGGGAATTTATAGTTATGCCTAAAATACTATTTGAGCATGATATATTCTCTGTGTGTTTCTTATTATCACATTGTCTTGCATCCAAGGCGTTGTATTGCTGCCTCAGTCTTTTTCAGGAGTTTAAAACAGAATAATTTTTAAGAGCATATACTTCTAAGCACTTAGTCTCATTTCTCCTTGTCCTTCTTGAGTTTGTTGCCTCTGCTTAAATAATGGAGATGAATGGAGGCTCACCCTTAACTAAATGAATACTGATTTAAAGCCTACTGTCAACCTCTGCTTTGTACAAATTTAATTGTTTGTTCATTTTACTGATCTGAGCAACTGTAGCACTTTTAAAGTGTAAATGTACCAGAAAAACATACTATTCACAAATTTTATATAGTATATGGAATTACCTAATGGTTAAATAAGTCAAGCATATGAAGCACCATGGTCTGTAGAGCAGCTACCAGTGAGTTCCATCCCCTGAGAGTGTTACCATCAATAGTGTAATCAACTAAATGCTCAAATTTTGCTTTTTTTAGTCACTTGTAATTTACTTATAGTGATGCTGTTAGGTTTTTAGAATTTTGATGCTTGAATTTTACACTCTTACTTTAATATCCTCAGATTTTTCAAAACTTTGATCATTTTTATTCAAAAATTCTGTTGGATAACTTAAGTTTGAACTCAGCTTTATAGCATTAAAAAGTTTGTCCCACGTTAGACTGAAGATCCATCTAGCTTGTCCTAGGGCTGATAGGGATGGTTCAGGAATAGTAGAAAGCAGGGCAAGCAAGCAGTCATAGTTGGCAACGCTGGGTGATTTCTGTCTCGGCTGTGTCTGGGTCGCACCACTTGGGCTTTATCAGAGGAGAAAGCTAAGTGTCCCTCATCAACTCAAAAGATAACTTAATTGTTTAGCCAGGTGAATCCTACTTTGAAAATGTGAGAGACTGACTAATTCCAAACATAGATGTTTCTAAAGGGAAGCTTCTCAATCCTAGTAGGGGTCTCATGTGGTTTTAGTGTAGCTGTGCGAAAAGACTGTAGGGCTAGAATATCTAGATTTTGTTCACAGCTTAGACTGACTTATTCCAGGTGATGGTAGATAAACTGATGCAGATGCAAGTGATTAGGTCTATAGTTACCATCAGCAGTAGCCTGTACCAGTTTCTACTCTGTCCTTACCTCCCTTACCCTTTAACTGGGGGTTATGGCCCCTCGATTACCCCTCCTGTGCATATAAATATTTATCTCACCACCCTCCAACTTAGCTGTATGGGTTTTGTTGGTTTGGGTCTTTTGGGGCATAGGGAGGGGTCTTACTGAAAAGAAAAGCCAACCTTGTAAACTTGAAGATTGTTAACTGCTATTTGCTTTTACGGAGATCAGTAGTGGCCAGCTTGTCTGATAACATCCTCCCTCACCTCTTATTATTTGCAGTTGAATTGTGGGCCTGCTACTTTCCTCCTTTCGAAGGGCTTATGTGGTCAAGTGATGTATATAAAGTGCTTTCCAAGAAGGCCTGAGAAGTGAAGGATAAAGTTAATTGTAACAGTTATTTTTCATAAAAAGGAAATAAATATTTTCTGATATTTGGCCTTTTGTAAGCAGGCTAGCAAAGAGACAGTGAAAATATATTTCCAGTGGGAGTGAAATTATCTGTAGAAAATTACTAGTTTAAAGTCCAGTACTTTAAATACCTAAATAAAAACTGTTCATACAAATTTTCTCACCTATGACTCTTGAGGCTTTTGTTATTGTTTGCATATAGCACACATAATTTATATCATATTTTTGAAAGACTTTCAAGATGTTATGTGGTGTTATAATGTACTATTAGTGGCTGTTAGTGGAGAGCAATTAAGATGTCCCCTGTTGTAGAGAAATGACTTGCAAGCATCTTGTATCTTTCAGTAACAAGTCATGTAGTTTAAACAAACCCAGTCAGTTTTGATTTTCCCCTCCAGATCTAGCACTTCCTTTCAGTTTGTTGTTCTGCTGATGAAGACACATCTTTCAGATAATTGCATCAGTGGACACATACAAGAGTATATGTGGCTTAGAAAAAGAACTATGCAACTTGTCAGTTTATGTATACACACACAAAGAACGAGCGAGCACTAATTCCTTCCCTCCCAAGTCTTCTATCCCAGTTTGAATTTATTGTGACTGGGAATATCTTAGCAAAGTCCTTCATTACTCAGTTATGATATATATAAGAAACTTTACCTAAATCTTTAACTCTGTTTTGTTGTTCCAGCAGTCCATACAGTACATGAACGTCCTAGTGCTCAGTACTGAGTCGGGTGCAGTGTGCGATGAAATTTAGTAAGCCTCCTATCCTATCTTTATTGACAGCATCAACAAAGAGAGCATTGTGGATGTAGAAGGTGTTGTGAGGAAAGCATATCAGAAAATTGGAGGTTGTACTCAGCAAGACGTTGAGCTTCACGTTCAAAGGGTAAATTTTTGAGCAAATGCAGCACTGGTTAATTGTTTGAGAGATTGTCTGTCTAGGTTGCCTGTCTATCTACATATATAAACTTTGTCAGTAAGCCATCCCTTACCAGAGAAATAAACTGCTTTAGACTACAAATTCCAGTGTACCGTATGTAAACATGAAACATTTCTGTTTTTTAAGAGATTTGATTTTTAGAATTTCCTATTTTTATCTGCCATTTGAATTACAGTAAAATAAAGTATCTCACTAGAATAATTTTACTAGGAATGCTTGTAATTCTAGTTTTGATACTTAACTGCAGCAGATACTGTAATAAAAAGTCTGCCTCTTTTTAAGTGCAAGTCAGAAGTTTCTTTATCAGAAAGTTACAATCTTCCTTTTAGTACAATGGGATGGAATACATAACTCTCAGGAAAAGTAAAGCACTGGCTTAACAGTATGGAAGCTCTTGAAATCTAAAATTCCTGTAGCTTATGCTGTAGGGCTGGAGGAAGTGCAGCTTTATAATTTGTTTAAATAGAAAGCATATTTAAACCTTTATGTAATATCCTTTCCTTCTAAAGGTTTTCAACCACTGTTGAGCCTACAATACAGCTGAAACACAGTCGCCTCGAGTATGATAGCTATTATAGTTAGAGCAGTAAGGTAAATTTTAGCTAACAGTGTTGGGGAAAATCGGCAGATTTTGAAGAAATATGTTTTAATATATGTGCAGATTATCATATGTTCAGTTTTTCTGAATATAAAATTCACTGCACATATGACTAGATTGTATGGCAAAGCAAGGTGTTTTTCATTCTCTGATTGTATTTTAGGTATCTCATAAATTTACAAACTGAAATGGCTTTTTCAGATATGATCAGATGATAAGTAAAATAATACATTAACAACAAAAAGAACGGGATAATCTTGCTGGAACCAGAACCTAAAACTCTGTGAAATGTAGTAGTTTCAGACCTGGCATTCATGCCAATAGGCTTGTCCCTCAGGCAATGTGTACTTGCTTAAGTCAATGCTTCCCAGAAGAAAAAAAAAGATTTTTAATCTTTCAAAAGAAAAATAATAACTAAGCACTTGCAGTATTGTCATGAGAATGCACCCATGTATCTCAAGTATTTGAAAAAAATCACAGTCTTACAGCTAACAGCCTATGCAAACACTGTTTCAAGTCTATGCCAGAAATATCCTTTTATAAGTCACACCTCCTTTTGAGCTGAGTCTCATGCTATTTCTGTTCCTGTCTCAATTTCAGATCTACGTGATCAGTTTAGCTGAACCCCGATTGCCCTTACAGCTGGATGATGCTGTTCGGCCAGAAGTGGAAGGAGAGGAGGTGAAAACTTTGCATCCTCAAATGCTTTTTATTGTCTTTGTAATTGAACAAAAGCATGAAAGCCAGGCAACTTCCTTAATGCAGTGATTTGGGGGTTTTGTTAGGCTTGCATTTTGCTTCCTTTATGCTATCCAGAACTGTGTTAGAAATCTCTGTCTATAGCTTTGATGTCTGTTGAACTGCAGTAAAAGGTCAAAACCAGAGAGTTTGCAGTCCTGTGTGTGTGTCTTCTGGATTCTCATAGTTGTGTTCTGCCTGTGACCTCTGGGAAGAGCTACACCTTAAGCTTTGCTATGCTGCAAGTTTGCTCTATGTTCTTTCTGGAATGATCTAGAAATTCTACTCAACTTAGAAGGAGCCCTTTGCTTTTAGCCAAAGGATGTTTTCTTCTCCATTGATTTTGCTTTGTTGGGTTTTTTGGGTTTTGGTTTTTTGGAGGTGTATGTATTCATTATGTATTTTTGCATAACTGTTCAGGATGGAAGAGCTACTGTAAACCAAGATACAAGACTGGACAACAGAGTGATTGATCTGAGGGTAAGGAACGTGCTGTGATGCATGCTTACCTGCAATTGTTTATTCTTCCCATTTCTAATCTACGAAGGAATAAGTTGTGGATTTGATGGAAGCCAAGTATTGTTGGCCAGACGAAAAATAAACAACGTATTTTTGTATTTGAGAGTGGTGGTGTGAAAACACAGGGCTTTTTAATCCTAAATGTTGACCTTTCCTAACATTAATCAACACGTATTAGTAGTTTAAAGATGAACATTTAGGATTTGGCACGGAGCTGTGTATACTGGGGGTTTTTTATTTACAAAAGTCAAAGGTGACTGAATAGGGACAATTTAGAGACAACATTTCTTCTCAAATGTAGTTTTGATACCTAAAAACTGTAGTAAGAGCTCAGATTTGAAGATGGAAGTTTTGAATTTAACACGTAACTGAGGTGCTATAACACATGTCTCACAAGTGAAATTGTACTACACTATGTACTGCATTCTCATCTCATTGTCTTTGTTTCTTCCACAGCATTCATATCTTTTTTTTTTCCTTTTTTTTTTCTGAAACACCTTTCTTCATCCAGGTCATAGAGACACAGGCTTCTGTGAATTCATATACCTCCCAAATATTTACTCTTTCTGATCAGCAGCAAAAAACTATCTACTAAATCACTTACAGAACTTTCCCTCTTTTTTAATGAAACATCAACTAACACTAAGCGTGTAAGTAACTAACAGTTCATATTGACATGAGGCTTTCTGGTCTTTTCCCATACTTGGCTCTCCACAATAAATTTTTAATTAACCTTCATTGACTGAAGAGTGTGCTTAGCTCATTTTTATGGTGTAACTAGTACTGCCTTCAAAGTTCTGATAATGGTAGTTTCTTAGTAAACCAGTCTATGGGCCTGGGAAATAAAACAAAAAAAGTCAGTTACTTATTGGAAAAATTGGGAAGGGTTCTGGCACCGAGATGCTTAAAGCATTTGAACATCTGATCTTATTTCAGCAACTAAAACTACTTGTGCAAATTGTTTTACTTGGACCAAAGTTAATTGCTTTTCACTTGTCCTCATGTATAATACTGAGCCAATTTGTGATTACTTTTCAGGATACTCAGTATCTCATCATATTGGTCTCTTCATCTGTGTCTTAAATTAAGCGTTTGATGAAAAAGATTCTATACTAATGGTTGAAAGTGAAAATTGTTTAAAGGATCATCAGCTTATGGTAGTGGTAAGGCAGCGTCCTAAATTGAAGGGAGAACTCTGGGATGCTCAAAGTGCAAGTGTTACTTGAACTTCTGATGATGAAGAAAAAATACTCAACAGCACTCCAGAGAAACTTAAGCAAATCCATTAAATTAATGAAATACCTGTATAATAAACTGGAAAGAGCCATGTGAACCCCAAAGAGAACAGAAAAAAAATACAGAGGGAAAGACCAGTTAAAAATACTAGCTGAAAATAATGGCACGAAAGTATCAGCTGTAATTCAGATGTCCTTGGCTGTAATTCAGATGAGGGCATCTGCAGAATAAAACCTAAGAAGGTAGATAGCAATGGAAAAAGAAGGAAGACTCTAATGCCAGAATAAACAGAAGAGATGGAACAGAAAGGGGTGGGCTAAAATTCTTCTGTCCCTGTACATGTTCAGTAGTCCAGCAGGACTCTCCCAGTACTTCATATATATCTCTGCCAGTATAGTAATAGAACATTAGCTGTCAGCATTCTGCCTGGAGGGTACAACTGGTGACCTAACTGGATGCTTCTATAACCTTTTCTAACTTACACGTCCCGACCATTGTCGGCACAGCATTTATTCAGCAACGTTTGGCACCTTGGTTTGAGGTCCAAACCTTAACTCTGCCTTCTGCAGAAGCTATTTTTCTCCTTAGCTCCAACAGCTGCTGCAGTGTGGTGCTAAACAACAATTTCGTGCTAAACAACAATTTCGTGCTAAACAGGAATTCAGGTTAACTGTTTAAGAAATTGATGGAGGGATGAAATGTCAAATCTCAGTACTTCAGTGCCTTGTGTCTCATCCTCTGCTTGTACCTGTGGCTGGATGTAATCTGGCCACAGCTTTGCCTTGATTAGGCTTAGATATCTATCTTGCCTTACTCCTATTTGTGGGTAAAGTTTCTGTCTCTGATTGTGTCACATTTCTGTATGTCTTTTCTGTTGCACATTTCGTTACTTGTTTCAGAACAAAATCAGATTATTGTGGAACAGTGGAGTCATAAGTTTGCTTTGTTTGTTCTGTAGGAGCTTTGCTTGTGCAAAAGAAGATTCTAAATAATTATGTGTTACTTTGACATGTTTTTTTTCAAAGGAGAGCTGAAAAAGCAGAAAAGGTATTTAATAAAGAAAGGGGAAATCCCAGTGAGAATACATGCAGTTATATATATGTGCACATCCTGAGCACCACATGCAGTGGAATCACAAGAGCAGCGGCACAAAGGCAGTTTGTTCTTCAAAATAACTAAAAAAGTCCCATCCAAAAAGGAGTAATTGAATTTCAGTGATGTGGTTGCATAGACTGGAGTTGTAGTACAAACAGGACTTCAGAGACCCCCTTGTGTTTCAAATGTATTGCATAAGTAGGCATGTTGTAAGGAGGATTAGAAGACATGATGTGTTAAAAGTTTGGAGAGACACCTGAAACCATTGGTAGCTACTACTGTCCCACACCTCTTCCTTCTAGGAAAACCAAATCGTGGGCAGCAGGGAAGAAATGTTAACAGAATAGTTCTAATAGAGATGCTGTGATGATCTGTTCATACAAGTGTGGGAGGAAGTCCAACCACAGATACATGTACCATCTTGTTCTGTTTCCTCAGTGGCCCAGTTTTTTAAGGTAGGAGGTCATCGAACGTCAAGAAGAGAGATACTGTTTTTTTGGAGAAAGAGTTAACAAACTAAATTCATAGATCTTGGGTAGGCACAGATTAAAAAAAAATCCTTCGTATGCAATTAAAATTTGTTTTGGCCATTTAAATACAATCTTTAAAGTAGTTAAGTAGTTTTAACTAATTTTAAGTAGTGATTAACCAATGAGGTCATTGTGTAGGGCCAAATTGTGCTAAAGTGGAGCTGTGAAGCTCAGTTATTGCATGAATTAAAGTGACTGGATTTCCAAAAATGGCATCACTCCATCCAGCTATACCAAAGAGAGTTTGATTATGATGCAGTAGAGGGACTTTGATTAATAAGGCAATGACATTAGTGGAGATATAATATGCAAAGTATTCTATAAAGATTGCAAGACTTCCATTCATGTGTACATGTGAAATTAGACAAGTAGTGCTCTGTATTTTTAACAATCTTGCATTTGGTTGCTGACAAATATCTCCCAGAGGTGTCTGGTATTTTTTTTGAGGTTAGGGATGGGATGTATTTAAATGCCAAGATCCCAAGCTATTGCTGTAGTTGTTATTCTGATGTACAGAGGGAAAATAGTGATTATTTAGGGTGGAGGGGTTTTAAAAATCCTTTCCAAGGAATAACGATTTGGCCTTGTTGAAATTCAACAAGGCCACGTGCAAGGTCCTGCACATGGGTCGGCGCAGTCCCAAGCACAACTAAAGGCTGGGCGGAGAATGGATTGAGAGCAGCCCTGAGGAGAAGGACTTGGGGGCGTTGATTGATGAAGAACTCAATGTGAGCCGGTAATGTGTGCTGGCAGCCCAGAAAGTCAACCGTGTCCTGGGCTACATCAAAAACAGCGTGACCACAGCAGGTTGGGGGAGGCGATCCTGCCCCTCTACTCTGCTCCCATGAGACCCCACCTGCAGTACTGCGTCCAGCTCTGGGGGCCCCAGTACAAGAGAGACATGGAGCTGTTGGAGTGAGTCCAGAGGAGGGCCATACGAGCCCCTCTCGTATGAAGACAGGCTGAGAGAGTTGGGGTTGTTCAGCCTGCAGAAGAGAAGGCTCCGGGGAGACCTTATAGCAGCTTTCCAGTACTTAAAAGTGGGCCTACAGGAAAGCTGGAGAGGGACTGTTTACAAGGGCATGGAGTGATAGGACAAGGGGGAATGGCTTTAAACTAAAAGGTAGTAGATTTAGATTAGATATTAGGAAGAAATTCTTCCCTGTGAGGGTGGTGAGGCACTGGAACCGGTCGCCCAGAGAAGTTGTGGAGGCCCCATCCCTGGAAGTGTTCAAGGCCAGGTTGGATGAGGCTTTGGGCAACGTGGTCTAGTGGAGGGGGTCCCTGCTTATGGCAAGGGGGTTGGAACTAGGTGATCTTTGAGGTCCCTTCCAACCCAAACTATTCTATGATTCTATGACTGAGGAAGAATGAATCTGTTCCTGGTGGATTAACTCATAAAATACAGATCACATACTTGTGGAGTAGAAAAATTGTGGGTGTAGAGACAAGAGAGCTGGTAAGAAGAAGGACGAGTCCTTGTATAGGCCAGATGTGTTTTCACATAACCACAGGTGACTGTAAGGACCTAAGTATCTATTTTTCATGATAGCTTAATGAGAGTCAAAACAGTTGATTCTAGAGACGTTTGATTTATCATTCCTCTACTGGAACAATTAAAAAGGCAAATTGGAGCACTGACTGTGTTTTTAAATCTTCACTTTTCTGCAGTTCTTAAGTTTAACCGAAGTATTCAGTGATACGTAGACTTTCCATGCCTGTAAAAACACCTACAGAAACCGTGTTTCATGAAGATCTGTGGTAGATGAAAAACAATGAAGTGAAACGCTGACTTGGGTTTTGCTTCTTATTATGTCTTCCTCTGAAGAAAAAAATCAGGTTCATCAAGTATTTTAACAATGGTCTGACTGATGTCCTTGCTCTGGCTTATTTTTGATGTCCAGCAGGGTTTTTATCTTAACAGTATCTATCCAAATTTGACTTGCATTATACGCATTTTGCAGTCCTGATGCTGTAATTTTGTCTGCTAATGCACAGTCCATTGAGACCAAAGCAGTTTTTAGGGTCAGTATTATCCAGCTTAAACTGCTCAGTGTAGAGCATAAACATTAAACTGTATCTTTAGTAGTTTATGGATGT